ATGATATATTACCACTAGTATTGCTAATTTTTACTATAGTTACAATGTCAATGTAATTAAAATGCACTACTATAAGGAGAGGGTATGGGTTAACTTGCTGAGCTTTTGAGCTTACTACATTCTTAACATTTCAGGTACTTGGTGGTTGTAAAGTTGGCGTCGAGGACCAGAGCAATTCAGAGTTTCTATTTTTTTTTCCTTAGTTGTAAAGAGATTTTTATATGGAGGATTTTATGTAATTTCATGTTGAATTAAGTGATGTATTATGGAATAATTGTTGGATCACATTCATGTTTAGGTATTATTTTCTGATGTATTTGTATTTGAAATTGGGGCGTGACGGTAAGTTTATCATCCAACATATCATCCATGCCCTCGGATAGGGCAACTGAGGACACCAAAAGTGACCCGGGCTTGGTATGATCTGTATTGTTAAGAACGGGTCGGGTATGGATAGCCAGGATGGAGCAAGTCCACGCTAGATGGGCCCAGATCTATGAAGTCATTACGGAAGCCCGTGTTATTATGAGAGAAGTTGAGTCCAGGTAAAAGAGAACAAGTAAGGCCCAGCTCAGAGGAGGTTGTAACCGTCTATAAATAAAGAAAATTGAGAGGGAAAAGAGGTTAGAAATCCTTGGGAGTGTAAAATTTCTCTCTCTGCAATTAGGGGAAATTCTTTGTACTTTCAATTAGCGCCGTCTATGGGAAGAACAAGAAGGATTGATTGATTTTGCTCCAGATCGATTCGATTCAAAGCACTCTATGAGGAAGACGATTAATCTCTGAAAGCTGAATCAACATTGGTGACAATACGATTTGTCTTGATGAGTCTTGGCTCCGGTTGATTTCGAGAGGTTGGCATCCGATCCACACAAATCTGATCTGAGCTTGATCCGGCGAACTACACAATTATGATTTGTTGAGATTACTGAATCCGGCCAGTAGTGAATAGAATTTAGCAAGTGTGAGTCCAGATCTAGTGCATGTGCGTTAGCAGAGCTCCGATCTAATCAAGAAATCCGCAGATGACTTTGCTCTGATCTGGAATGATGATCGGAGAGGAGAACTCAAATCCTTTGGAGAACAGCCAGCAGACGAAGCTCGATGAGCTGATGAACATGATCGACGCTTTGAGGAAAGAAAATGCAGAGTTACGAGCTGGAATGGAGCGCCGTGAGGATCCTACAATTCCGAGGCCACCTCTTGAAGGAGAGGGAGTCTTGCCGTCCCAAGTTGATCGTCAAGGTGATCCAGAAGGTGTTAATCGTGTTGATCCACGTCGTGATGAAGTTATAATAGGCGATCTGCCTCCAAATGTCCGTCAAGTAGAGGATCGAGAAGGATCTATTCATTTGGAGCCACATCACGAATGGATCATGAGGGAAGAAGCGCCGGCATGTGATCATAGGGTTGCGTCACCGTGGCGAAGTGAGTTTGCAGTGGACAGATCGTTCGATCCACCTTACCGACCTTAAATGACAACATTTGATTACCGCAGTTCAAAAAGGAGATCTGTCGATCGGGGACTTCCGTCACGATTTTCAAGGGAGAACGAAGCATGGCGCCCATCAGCAAGGACGGTTGCATCTCCGTTCACTGATGAAATTCTGAATGCACCGAATCCGAAGAAGTTCTCTATGCCGGTTTTCATTCTATTTGATGGAACAACCAACCCGGTCGATCACATCTACCACATTCAGTTGAAAATGGCTCTGAATACTAATAATGATCCTTTAATGTGCAAATGCTTCCCTACGAGCTTGGTTGGACCAGCCCTCAATTGGTTCAAGAATCTGGCTCAGGGTTCAATCGCTAGTTTCCAGGACTTGTGCGATAAGTTCAAAAGCCAGTACTACGGGAGTAAACGTCCAGCTAAGGATGTTTCAAGCCTTTTCACAATGAGGCAACACGAGGATGAACGGCTCCAAGCTTTCCTCACCCGGTTCAACCTGGTTAAAAGCATGGTAATGGAGTATCATCCATCCACAATGGTCTAAGCATTTAAACTCGCAATGAACCGGGGGACGCTGTTCCACATAAGCTTGGTGGTCAATACGCCGAAGACCATGGACGAGCTGAACGAGAGAGCTGACAGTTTTGTTCATCTTGAGGAGGAAGAGGTAGCTAATTCAAGGAAGATGTCAATTATTTCGACGGAAGAGAAATCCAAAGCCAAGATCTGGCAAAAACAAGCTCAGCCGCAATGCCATACCTCATAGAAGGCAGAGAAAAGGCCCAGGGAGGAGGAATCAGTAACTCCACTCAGAGTCACCTTGGCAAGGCTATACCAAGAAAATAAAGATAAGTTTCGCCCTCCTTTACCAATCAGACAATCTCTTAAACAGAGGGATCAAACTAAACATTGTGTTTTCCATAGTGATTTTGGACATCAGACTAACGAATACAGGAACCTAGGGAGGCAGGTAGAGATGCTAATCGCAAAGGGGGAATTTGCAAGCTATGTTTAAGGTCCGGTGCAAGAGCAGAACTAACCGGCTGAACAGATCAAGTGAAATCAGAGGCTGAACCACCACAACTGTTAGCCTGTTCGGATTATAAATGCAATTCATGGTTGACCTGAACAAATGATGGAGTCAGAAGAGTTGCTCAGAACGCGGTTACGCCAGGCCCAGTTGAAAAGAAGGATTGGCAGTGTATATGCTTTGCACCAGCAGAACGCATCCACACCGATAAAGTTCGACAGAACAGACCCGCTACACGTTTAGATTCCTCATGAAGATCCACTAGTCGTTAGTCTAACGGTTGCAGAATGCCTGGTTCAAAGAGTTTTGATTAATCCAGGAAGTAGTGCGAATGTCATGCCCAGGGTGACGTTCGACCGACTTGAGATCAAACTTGAAAAACTTAAACCCACAGGAAATTCGTTGCTCGGATTTGATGGGAAGTGAGTGGAACCCATTGGCATGGTGGAATTAATAGTACAAGCTGCTGAGCGAGTTTTGACTGAGAGTTTTGTGGTCGTGGAAATTCATCCATCCTACAACCTCTTAATGGGCAGAGGGTCGAATCACAGAGTTCAGGGTGTCCCATCAACCTTGCATCAAGTAATGCGATGCTTGGGTCCAGATGGGACCAAGGTGATTGACATTCATGGGGACCAGGTCGCAGCTAAAGAATGTTATTCAGTGACTTTGAAATTTACTAGAAAAAGGAAAAATCCCATCCGTTCTGCCAGTCTAAGATAGCAATTACAGGAACCTCCTCCCAGCAAAAATGGGGAGGAGGAGCCACCAGTTCTGACCACAGAACCTCTTCATGAAGTGAAGATCGACCATAAGAAGCCGGACCGAATAACAAGGGTGGGATCCAGACTTACTAGAGAGGAAAAGCTATAGTTGACTGATTTCTTGACTCGGGACGTAGATGTATTCGCATGGAGCCATTCAGATATGCCAGGGATAAATCCTTTTGTATCCTGTCCGAACGCAAAACCAGTGAAGTAAAAGCAAAGAAGATTTGCTCCAGAATGAAATCAGATTATAGCTGAGGAGGTTGATCGATTGCTCAAAGCAGGATTCATCAGAGAAGTTCAGTACCCGGCTTGGCTCTCTAATGTTGTTGTGGTGCAGAAAAAGAATGGGAAATGGAGAGTATGTATCGACTTCACTAATCTGAACAAAGCTTGCCCAAAGGATAGCTTCCCATTGCCAAGGATTGATCAAATGGTAGATACCACCATAGGATATGAGCGATTAACCTTCCTGGATGCTTATTCCGGTTATAATCAAATCCCCATGGACCCAGTTAATGAAGAGAAAACTTCTTTTGTTACTGAATGAAGGACTTATTGCTACAAAGTCATGCCGATCGGATTAAAAAACGCTGGAGCTAGTTATCAAAGGCTGATCAACAAGTTTTTTAAAATCCAAATGGGAAGAACTGTCGAGGCTTATATTGATGATATGGTGGTCAAAAGTAAGAAGAAGAATGATCACTTAGCGCACCAACAGGATGTGTTCGATGTGTTGCGGCAATATGGGATGAAGCTTAATCCGGCCAAATGTTCATTCGGCGTAAGCTCTGGTCAATTTCTAGGACATGAGGTATATCATAGAGGAATTGAGGCCAGCCCAGCGCAGGTAGAAGCTCTGATCAGAAATGCAAAACCAAAGATAACTAAGGAGGTGCAGGCACTCATAGGTCAAATAGCCGTGTTGAGCCGATTCATTTCCAAGCTTTCAGACCGCTGTAAACCATTCTTTGATACAATTCAAGGCCATGAAGGCAAGCCTGGGGGGATGAACAACGACAGGCACTAACCAACCTGAAAGAATACATGCGCAACCCTCCGGATCTATCTGCTCCCGAGCCGAATGAGAAGCTCTTTTTGTATCTTGGGGTATCCGGCATCGCGACTAGTGCGGTTCTGATTCGTTGCAAAGACAGAAAGTAATTCCCAGTGTTTTATGTCAGCAAAACAATGTCTGAGCTAGAAAGAAGGTACTCAAGGGCCGAACGGATGATCTTGTTATTGGTTAACGCAAAAAGAAAGCTCAGACATTATTTCGAATATCATCCGATTGTCGTCTTAACAACCTTCCCTTTAAGAATGATCTTGCACAAATCGGACCTATCAGGAAGAATGACAAAGTGGGCCATTGAATTGAGCTCATTTGATATTGCGTACGAACCCAGGACGGCAATCAAAGGTCAAGCGGTGGCGAATTTCCTACTTGAGTATGATGTTGAAGACTTGGTGGATGATTATAATTGCTCCTTATGGAAGCTCTTTGTAGATGGCTCTTCAAATCAAATGAGGGCAGGGATTGGAATCCAATTGCGAACACCAGAAGGCACCACGCTGAGCCAAGTGATAAGACTTGAGTTCAATGCAACAAAACAACGAGGCAGAATACGAGGCGTTGATAGCTGGGCTGAAGTTGGCTAAAGAGCTGAAGATCAAGAATCTGATTACTTATAGTGATTCATAACTAATCATTTGGCAAGTCACTGAGGAATATGGGACCAAAGATAAGACCATGGAAGCATACCGAACTGCGGTTCTGCTTGAAGTGAAAGGCTTTGATCAGATCAGGTTCATCCAATTGCCGAGGGAGTATAACGAAGATGCCGACCGCTTGGCCTGTAATGCATCCAGTTCTAGAAAGACTTTGGCTAGGGTCATCTCGGTTGACGTGTTGGTCCAACCATCCATTTTTGACGAGCTGCCTGATCTGAACGCTCAACATATTAATGTTATACCATATGAGCCGAGCTGGATTGATCCGATCATGGCTTTTATACATAATGGTGTACTACCTGAACAGAGGGACGAGACAAGAAAAATTAGGTCCAACGCCGCAAAGTACGCTATCGTGCGTGATCAGTTGTATAGACGGTCCTTCTCGGGTCTATATTTGAAGTGTGCTACCCCAACAGAGGCTAGATAGATTATGCGAACCATTCATGAAGAAGTATGCGGAAATCATTCAGGAGGAAGATCTTTAGCACAGAAAGCAATGACACAAGGGTACTTTTGGCCAAACATGGCACGAAATGCAGAAGAATTCTCTAGAAGATATGATAAATGCCAGAGGTTCGGGCCATTGATACACCAACCACCTGAAGACCTGCACGTAATGGCCACACCATGGCCTTTCGCGCAGTGGGGGATGGATGTGGTTGGCCCTTTGCCAACCGCAAGATCGCAGAATAAGTACGTTCTGCTAGCAACTGATTACTTCACCCAATGGGTGGAAGCAGAGCCGTACCCTAGTGTCACCCAAACTCAAGTAAGACACTTCATCTGGAACAATATTATCTGTCATTTTGGCGTACCAAGGTTAATCGTAATGGACAATGGGACCAATCTCAATAGCAAGCAAGTGAAAGAGCTGCTAGAAAAATATGGAATCAACCAGAAGTTAGCAGCAGTCAGTTATCCCTAGGCTAATGGTCAAGCTGAAATCACAAACAGGACAATATTTGCCTGCATTAAGAAAAAGCTAGAAAATGGTTAGATGAGCTTCCAAACGTCTTGTGGGCTTACAGAACAACCCCAAGACGGCCGACCGGAGAGAGCCCATTCGCTATGGCATACGGCACCGAGGCAGTGATACCAGTCGAACACTTGGTTCCAATCGTAAGAAGCTTGGCATGGGATCAAGAGCAGAATGATAGAATGCTAAGGTTTAATCTCGATTTGCTGGAGGAAAAATGGGATGCAGCGGCAGTAAGGCTTGCCTCTTATCAACAAACGCTCGTAAATAGCCATAACAAGAAGGTAAGGCATAGAGACTTCGCTCTTGGCGATCTGGTTCTGAAAAGGAAGGTGGGGATAGTCAAAAAGATGTTCTCCCCATGAGAAGGTCCATACAGAATTGCAGAGGTCATAGAGAAGGGGGGTACATCCTGGAAACTATGGCAGGAAGGGTGGTCAGTAAACCATGGAATGCTACATCCCTGAAAAGGTACTACCAGTAGAAGTAGAGTTTAATTTCAAATAATATACACATTTTAAATTGCATACTTGCAAGTGTATGAAATTCCCAAGTTTTATAAAAAGTGTTTACTTTGCTCAAAAATCAATTGACATCCTTCCCATTCAGCAAAGTTAGTGGCAGCTGGCACTATGAGCCGAACGCCAAACACTTGCTCAAAATGAAATAAAGCCAAGGGGCAAGTGGCGTTCAAGCCGAGCGCCAGGCATTCAGCAAAATTAGTGGCAGTTGGCACTATGAGCCGAACGCCAAACACTTGCTTAATATGAAATAAAGCCAAGTGGCAAGTGGTGTTCAAGCCGAGCGCCAGGCATTCAGCAAAGCTATTGGCAACTGGCACTATGAGCCGAACGCCAAACACTTGCTCAAAATGAAATAAAGCCAAGTAGTAAGTGGCGTTCAAGCCGAGCGCCAGGCATTCAGCAAAGTTAGTGGCAGCTGGCACTATGAGCCGAACGCCAAACACTTACTCAAATAAAATAAAGCCAAGTTGTAAGTGGCGTTCAAGCCGAGCGTCAGGTATTCAGCAAAGTTAGTGGCAGTTGGCACTATGAGCCGAATGCCAAACACTTGCTCAAAGTAAAATAAAGCCAAGTGGCAAGTGGCGTTCAAGCCGAGCGCCAGGCATTCAGTAAAGTTAGTGGCAGCTGGCACTATGAGCCGAACACCAAACACTTGCTCAAAATAAAGTAAAGCCAAACGGTAACCAAGCCGAACACCAGACACTTATGAAAATACACAACAAGGTTGAAAATTGAAAACTTGAAGAATGGAAGTTGTGCTAAACATAAGCATTGTCATTCATTACAAAAGGATCCTGAGGTACATAGCTTGATGATCTGAGGATACATGAAGGTACAAAAAAAAAAAAAACACTGCAGAATGTCAGTTCTCATGGTCTTCTCCAGGCTGTGACTTGTTGTTCTCCCCATCATTACCCTCTGGACCATTGAGATCTTCTTCATTCTCAACTGCACCATCATCCTTGGGGGGAAAATCAAGGTGAATCACCCCCTCAGCTAGCATGAGTCTGTCAGTAACAAATGAGGAAGAGGGCACAATAGTAAAAATGGGAGGAATATTCAGAGGGTGGAAGGGTGGAACAACTCCTGAGGATGCAACCTCTCTGCACTCGATGAAGATATTCTCAGCAGGGTCACAGGGTGGATTTTGATAATTGTTTGGGGGGTGGATATCCAAAGAAGCATCCAATTCATCTGGACCAGCACAAGAACTTTATTCACCTTCAGGGGGAAAATGGTCAATAAAACCATCTCTATACCCTTCAGCATACCGGATGGCACTGGTTCTGGTGAAGTGAGCAAGGAGAGCTTTCATACCCCCTTCAACTTTGCCAATCATGTTCAGCAAAGAAGAACGTTCGCTTAAGAGCTTCTCCTGTAAGTTGGCATGAGACAACCGGTCAGCAATAAGTGAACGCTGAAGGTCTCCCTTTTCAGCTTTCAGTGAGTCTCTTTCAGTCAGAGCAACGCTCTTCTCAGTCTTCAAGACATCAACTTCATCCTGAAGAGAATCCCGTTCGGCCTTCAGGGTATCCCGTTTGGCTTTGAGGGCGTCCCTCTCATTTGCCAGACCGTCTTTCTCTGCCTTTAAGGCAGCAACCCCTTTCTCTGACTCGCTCAGCTTAGACTCAAACTTAGCAACTTTGACCTCAAGCCGGCTCTCTACTTCAACAGACCTTTTAAGGCCTACAGAAAGGGATTTAAGTTTTTTATTCAGAGTCTCAATGGTCTTTTGGAAGGTGAACATCATGAATAGAGTCTGTGTAAAGGAAGGGAAATTCAGGTTTGACTAGCTACTAGAGAGTTATAGTAGAAAGGAAACATAACTCAATAAAAAGAAGAGTTACCTCTATGGCAGCAGTTGGGAACCGCTGGAACATCTCGCCAAAAGATAGCTTGTTCTGAATCTCAAGGTCCTTGGGGGTCAAAAACCCTTGTAGAAAACAAAGGAGGTGAGGGGGTCCTTGTACATAGAGTCGGTGGGGCCAATGGTCGAGCCATCTTCACGGCTAAGCAAAGGTCGCCATGGAAGAACGTATGAAGTTAGACCAGAGGTTCTGGCTGATTCACCTTCTGGAATGAAAAACTGAGCTGGGGGCAATGGTTCAGTAACCCTGAAAGAAGCCGTCCTGGTTCTCCGAGCTGGTGGGACATCATTCCGGTCATGACTGCTCTCAGGAAGAAGGGATAGAGAAAGATTAGCCGAGCGAAGTCTGCTAATTCCCACTAACAACAATCAAGTTTTGTCTCCAACCTTTTTCAAATGAGTTCTTATCAGTGCAGATCGACCATTTGTCAACAGGGAAGAAGTGATAATACAGATCGTTTTATGTAATTTTATTAATCCAGTAGCAGAGGAGAAGGTCGATGATGTCGAGGTTGAGACCCCTGTCATGATTCAAGAGCAGGAGGACTGAAATTACCCTAAGGAAGTTAGGGTTAACCTGCAGAGGGCAGAGCCCCAATTTGTTGAAAGCATAACAAAAGAATAGGTGTAAGGGGAACCTAACAACGTTAAAATGAACGGCAAAGAATAAAACTTCCCCAGGAAGGAGGCCCTCACTAGATCTCCCATTTAAGTTTATTGGATAGACCCTGAGAGAAACGTCATTGGGAATGCTATTTTTGGATCGAATGGCGTTCAGATTAGGGGGAGCCATAGAGAAGGGAAGGAGTCCTAGGCAATAAAGGTGTCTTTTTCAAAGAGAGAGGTAAAAAAAAAAACTGACCTTAGAAGTTTGTGATGAACACAGCAACAGCACAGTAGCCAAAATCGTAAAGGAAAAACTTGCCGGAGAAATTGAAGAAGGATCGCCGGAATGTGCAAGAAGGCAGCAGAGAATAGAAGCAGGGTCTGAAAAAGAAAGATAAAAGTTGAAAAGATCAGGGTTTATAAGGAGAAGAGGTGAAGGCGACATGGAATTCAAAAGGTCAAGGCAAAAAGTGGCACTACAGATCTCGAAGTTTGGGTTTTTGTGCTAGCCGTTCGATTCCTCGTGTCATTGCTTCGAGCAGTCAAACCAAGATTGTGTCTTTTCAATAATCTCACCCTCATTAATGAGGGGAGAGATTATTGGGGGCAGATGAGGACACCAAAAGTGACCCGGGCTTGGTATGATCCGTATTGTTAAGAACGGGTCGGGTATGGATAGCCAGGATGGAGCAAGTCCACGTTGGATGGGCCCAGATCCATGAAGTCATTGCGGAAGCCCGCGTTAAGATAAGAGAAGTTGAGTCCAGGTAAAAGAGAACAAGTAAGGCCCAGCTCAGAGGAGGTTGTAACAGTCTATAAATAAAGAAAATTGAGAGGGAAAAGAGGTTAGAAATCATTGGGAGTGTAAAATTTCTCTCACTGCAATTGGGGGGAAATTCTTTGTACTTTCAGCAACACAACCTACCAAAAAGAAAAAAGAATGATAATATCATTTAACAGAAGCACATTTGATCAAAGTTACAGTATTATTACTCTTTTTTTTTTTTTTTTCAAAATTAAGAGTTCACTAACAAAGAAACAGACTAATACAAGAGATCAAAGGGCATCCTCCTCCCAGAAGAGAAAATAAGAGGGAAAAAGTGAAAAAAAATATATATATATAACAGTAGGACACAGAAATCCAAGTAAGGCGTGTGCTTAGTAAATTAATAGTAATACACAGAAAAATGGAAGATAGAGGTAAAAGCAGAGGACTTTGAAACTGAATGATTGCAGAAAAATGTGATTGGGTAATTCCCAGTTAAGCTGCAAATGTTTGTTGCTATCAGTACTAAAACTAACTTGAAATTAATATTATGAACAAAAGCATGAAGAAAATTAACTTGAAATTATTTTTAAAATAATTAGTAATAACATCAAGTATTTGAGAAACACGGTCTTAGTTTTTCTCAAGTTTAACGTAATCCCAACTTTAATTTAGGTTATTTAAGTCT